AAAATAAGAACCCAACCCAGTACTTCAAATAAAACAAAATACAAGTTCAAATGGTATAAAAATCTTTACTGAGCCAATCTTTGTAATACCAGTTCGCCAACAAACTGCTTGATAACAAGAAAATAGTATAACAAACATTTCGGTCATTTCAAGATAGATAAAAAAAAAAAACAACATTATTTGAATAACTGAACACTTTACAAATTTTATATATTCCTGATAAACAATTCAAAATCTATGTGTGTTCAAAAGTGAATAAAGTTCTAACATAAACTGATATAAATTTCTTATTTTGTTATTGAATATTTCTGTAACCTTTTTGTACATGTGCAAAAATGCTAGAAAATATTAATGAAAATATAAATTCTAATTTTAACCCTGAAAACATTTCCTAATTGCCTATTTAATTTTAGAAAAAGATTATTTCACAATCATTTGACTTCAATTTATATATAGCCATTAAATATATTAAACCAATTATATATACATTATTGAAACAATTAGTTTATTTTGATTTATATAGTTAAATAGTTTGCAGTTAATCACTTTATGAACATTCATGATAGAAATGTGTTACTTCTATTTTGATTTCATATTTGTATACTTAGGAGGCACGGTGGAGTAATGGATAGCAACTCAGATTGAGGAATTGGAGAGCTGAGTATGAATTCCAGTCAAATCCATTTACATTCAATTATATGCTAATACCCTTGGAAAAGGTATGAATCCTCTTCTTCTCCACACAGCTATGGATAAAATAGCAGGACAGACTCTAGCCTTGGATGGCAACTGGTCTACCGCAGAAAGAAATGGCAACCTACTGCGGGGAAAAAAAATTGAAAGATACATGATCGCCTAAGCATGTATCATGCATGACACATAACTGAGTGATTTGTATACTTAAGTTTCACATATGAATTGAAACAGTTTAATATGAAATCTCCAACTAGACTGATTGCCTTCTAAGCAAATGTTATCTAAAACTAAAAATCAACCATACTGTCAAAATACTCCTTTGAAGGGACAGCAGATCATTACAGTGAGATCAGTCATCTGCCTAGAAGAAGAAAACACCAACAAAAAACCTATGACTTTTCTGCTAATGTCTCAACTTATTGGACCACAATATATAAATCCCTGTTGAACTCATAAAGTTACTAATCTAAAATTTCACTGACAGTCTCCTAACTCTTATAGGAGCACTAAGCAGAGACATAAAAGCTTTGTTCACAAAATTAAACCATAATCAGTTTTGGTTGGATAATCAGTGACTAAATTGATAACAAACTCCACTTCAGTATGAATGTGGATGGTGGTTAGCAAGCCAGGAAGAACAAAAGACTTATAAAAAGGTGAATAAACTCCAAGAGCCAATGGCCAGTTAACTGGAGATGGTGTCTTGATATAAAAAAAAAAAAAAAAAGAGAGAGAGAAGGCAACAGGAAATTACTAAATCATCTCTCACAAGAACTATGATGACAAATCCCAAACATCAGATAACAGTGTGAATAGAAACAATTCTCACAGAACTGATTCTTTGCCTTGTAACGATAGACACATGTGAACTGTATTACCTGACTGTCCTCCAGGGTCTTTCAACAACAAAGATAAGATCATAATTGAAACTTGGAATTTTAGGACATCAATACAGAAAGCTTAAAAATGGAAAAAATGTAAGACAAAGATTAACATAGAAGGAATATACAAAACAAGATGCAAGGAAAATGACCATTGAATCATTTACTCAGGAGGAGAGAAGAATGAAATAGAGGAGATATTAATATTACATAAAACAGAAGGAAAAACATTTGTGGGTAGAGGAAAGTATCAGTTTGGGTCCTTTTAGTGAAACTGAAAGGTAAGCCATTCAAATATGTAACACATCAAAAATCACCAAAGATGAAATAGATAAGATCTAGGAAGGAGACTCAAAAAAAAAAATGATAAATCTCAGAGTCAGTTCCAAGAAATCATCATCATCATCATGGGAGATGCAAATAACAAAAGTAGAATGGGAAGAGGATAATAAAATGGTCGTCCAACCAGTACAGAAAAAGATCAATCCAATGGTGCAATAACTAAATGATCAACATTTGATTAAAAAAAAAAAAAGAATACATCCAAGTAATGAGATGATATCATCTAGAAACAAAGACTAATTAGCCATCAACAAACAATTTAGAAACTTCAGCACTGACAGGTGTGATAGACTCTCACTTGTTTGCATACCCAAAATAAGTTAAAAATTCAAGAATACTGCAGTATGAAAAATTCCATAGCAAACAATCATATGCAGTTAAAAACAAGCATGAAACTTTGGCACATGTTGTGGATTCAAAGTGGAACATCTTAAAGGAAGCACGAGTAACAACAGCAAAAGAAATTTTCTTGAAGGAAGGAAAGAAAAATGAAAAGGATAACTAGATTAGATAAGATTGAACACTGATGTTCAATTCTAGGTGTGAGATTGAAGCTACAATGTTATCTGAGAAAACAATTTGTCTAATCACAAATCATTTAAAGGGTCTTTTCCAAAAGCCATAATACACAAGAAGTATAAGTAACAAAAATTATGTCCCCATTTTTATGGGAAAAGGAAAAGGAACCAGGAACCCCTTCCTAAGTATGAAACAAGGGATGAGCCTTTACTCCTATTCAGGAGAAGGGGGAGGAGTACAGACAAAAGCAACAGGAAAGCCTATCAACTCCTATTAAAAAAAAAAATTAATAAAAGTCAAGATGTCCATTAGAAATTCAACAAAGAATTAAACTGGCAACTTTGAAAGAATTTTAAAAAAGAAAAAAAAACACAATCCTGGATTTGACTTCCAGTTATTTCAAAGAATGTACATTCAGATAACTTATTGGAGAGTTCATCTGCATCCCACAGAACTTGTGATGTTTAACTGATATTCTAGTATATTAAAGGGGAGAGGAAGTAATAGGCAGTAGAGGTCTGTCCCTAGAATCTTACGGGAGAACCTTCAATTGCTTCTTTCCAATATTTAAATTAACAGACAGAGCAGGCTGGCTTAATTTCAATGGTGCTTTGGTACAATTGCATCAACTTTAAAGTTAATTTTCTGATTTTCATTGCCGAAAGCATGTAACTATCTCTCACTTGGGATGGGTGGTGATGGTACGAGGGGGTGAAGGGTTAATTTTCTTAACAATCTGCATACTATTCTTTTGGTTTCTGTTAAAAGAATTTGAGTTCTTTCCAGCCAGTCAGCCACAAATGAATGTTTTGTAATGCCCATTTGTAGGAGAAACTTTTTAAATGACAGATACAATAATAGTAGTGACTCGAACAATACTCAGTCAGACGAGGCTAATTCCCATATAAATATTTTTCCTTTACCTGCAACATGATCTAATTATTTCAAGATGAGGTCAACTGTGCTTACTCTCTGGCAATTTGTGTTCAAACCGGATTGTCAGCAGCAACACTTTTTATTTCTATATGACAGAATGGCACTTGAAATAATATATATGGACATACAACTGAATAAAGCAAATTAAAATGCAAATTTATTAAGTTCTAACTTAGTAAAAGACCTAATATACACTTTCTTGGGAAAACCTCAAGCTAAATTTCCCATTCTTTTTACCACTCAGGATAGACTCCCATTAAAATGTAATATTGAGAATTAACAATAAATTAATGTTCAAGCACTTTATGCAAATGTGCCCGCATACATGTAAGTATACATACACACACACTTACATGTACACATGCTGAGAGAAGTATCAAGAGAAAATTAAAACAATGAAGATCTTTCCCAGATATAGAATGAAATTCCAGCTCTCAGTCTTCAATTTGTGAAAAGCCAATACTTGTTGTTCCCTGTTCATGGAATATGTCCTCACCTGAGACAGAGATGAATTCAGTCCATTTGAATCTGGAATCCTGAACATGTCTTCTCCAGATACATGAGTATCTCCATATTATATGTAAGACCCTTCTTTATTGCTTCTCCTTTGTTGTGTAGATATTATTGTTTCTCCTTTGTTGTGTAGATATATGTGATATATTATTCTCTACATGTGTATATATGTGATATATCCCGGAAAGGGATATATTTGTTCGTAGTAGCAAAGTGGTTTTGGACTACTGTAACCGGGTAGGACAAACTAGCAAGTAACCGTAATTGACTGGTCTTTGTCGTAATGGTAGGCAATAGGCGTAGCCAATAGATGCCCTCCCTGTACCTCCACATCAGTCTGTATTTATGGCTGACACCAGCCAATCATATTACTGTGAGGGGGAACCCAGGTGTATGCATATTCATTACATCAATATGTATATATAGTTTTGTTCTATACCTTAGTAGTGTAAAAGTATCTATTTTCGTCATTCTTTTTACTTTCAGCCATTCCATTCCATCCTTGAAATATCAGTGTTATTATATCATGAATATAATAATGCCCATAAAGTGGGAAATACAAATAGGAGAATAAATCTTTCTCCTGTAGCTCTCTCCCATTACATTATCCTTTTCAAAGAAAAATTAACACTATTAAGAATGTTCAACTAATATTTTACTGATCCGGAACAAATGATAATTAAGCAGAGATCTTCTTCAGGTGCCTAACATACTGAGGCACACATGACCAGTCCACAAGATCAGAATGAGTAGGCTTATTTCCATATAGATCTTGCAACACCAATCTATTCTCCTGCTGATAGAGAATTGCTGTAAAAATGATAGTCATTTTATAGTCATAAAGAACAAAGTTGAATTCACAAATTTTAACTACAGTCATTTCTGTTTGTGCTGGATAAAGTTTTAATCTTGAAACAAAAGATCAGATAAGTATTCAAATAGTCATGACTTGGTAGTAGAAACTAATTTCAAACTGCCTAAATGAAAGATTTGATCTCTACTAGCCACAAAGAAATATTCATCATTGATTGCTTCTTTTATCAAACAAAATTGTTTGTAAAGTTTGGTGAGTTTCAGGAAAATTCATTCCTCTAAAAATGATTTCTTACTTACCAGTAGAACAAGTGCCAGGGGACCACAATAGACCACAAAAGCAAATAAGAAGATCATCAGCCAAGTGAAGATGCCACGAACAACCCAGTTTCTCCATCTGAAAAGTACAAAGGCAAATACATTACAAGCTTACCACAATGGATTACAAATGTCTTTTTCTTTTTCATTCATAGAATTTACAGTGAATCAGAGTTTTTTAAAGTATAAAATCAACAGTAATCAAATCAAGATACCACCCACAAAACTTAAAAAAATAATATTTTAGGAAAAAGATATTATGATCATTTATATTATATTTGGATTATTGTCTTCATCTTTGTTGTTATTATTATTATTACAATATTTTGGTCATTGTGACCTCCAGAGGGCATAACAGGCAAAACTTTGTGACAACAATAACAAAGATGAGGATAATAGTCTGAATATAAATAGACACCTCATCCCAAAGATTCAGACATGGATATTATGATCATTTGTTTCACTTGAAGATATAAGCCAGCTGAAGCATTTTAAACTTTTCTAAATAGATGATCCTGCTGGTTTTGATAAATGATATTCAATCAATGTCCTCCAATGCAATATATTCTAAGAGGAATTTCATAAACTTCCATCTAGGTAATAAATGTCTTGTAGTATATGCACTTTTAAAATGTTAACAAAATTTTGTTCTAGTCTTGCTGAAAATCATTTGTATAAAGAAATTCTGATAACCTGAATCACTTCATTAGTTAATATTTTCAAAGTCCATCATCAAGAAAACTTCTAAGCAAAAATGAGAGATAAACAAAAGCATAGAAATATTATCTGCATTTACGCAAGTTTCCATTTGCTTAAAGAGAATGAATAATGACAAAACAAGCCTTATATTTAATATTAGAGTTGCAACGTTTAATATGTGAAAATGTTTTGATAAGATAGAAGCTAGAAGATTCATTCGGGTGTTGGCCAACTTTAAAGAAAGGCTGTAAATGAAAGAACTGATTCAAAGAAGGAAACAAGAAAGAAGAAAATTAGAAATAAAAAGATGAAAAGAAAAACAGAGAGTGAAAAAGAAAGAAAAAAAAGAAAAGAGTCATTAATATGAAAATAGGAAAAGGTCAGGACAGAAAGTGCAAAAAGAGGTTAATAAAGGGAAATAGGAAAAAGCAAGAAAAAAAAAAAGAAATATTAAAATAGAAAGTGAATAACAATGAATAAAAGGAAGGAAAACATGAAAGAAATTTAAAAAACGGAAAATCAGTAGTGACAAAAATACAAAGAAAATATTTAGAAATTTAAGAATGACAAGGAGAAAGAAAACACAAAAAATAAAAAGGAAATAAATGAAGTGTATCAAAAGAACGTAATTAACAGATGCATTTAGTTTGTACAAAGTTATCAAATACAAAATAACAAAAACAGACACGATTTTGTATGGCAACACCTAAGATAAGCAAGGTGAATATTTGTATAATTTGTGTGTGGGAGAAAAAGAAAGAAAATTGAGTAGAAAAGAAAAGAGAGATTTCAATATTGGCAAGAAATAAGGCAGCAAGGATAAGATTTCAAAATATTCATAAGTTATTTTAAAGAAGAGATTTTCTAAATGAAAAAGAATCAGGGAGATTATCTTTGCTATTTCTGTGATTTGTGAGTCATTCATTTCAGAACAAAAAGAAAAAATAATAAGAAATTAATATGATGAACAACTTGTGTGTATTAGTGACTTTGAAATACATATACTTTTATATTTCTGATTTTACAAAAGCACAAATGTACATATTACTGCAAGAAAAACTACATATTAAGTTGCTACATGTTAAGTTACACACTTTCCCCAAAATCTGTATTTTGATATTTGGTTCTTGAAATACTGATTTTTAGTAGTATGTCAGGCCAAAACCTTCCTTCATCATAGTCAAATAAATTGGAATAAAGCAACAATTTTCACCTAATCCTATTTGAAATGCTCAAGAGAACTTTCAAGAGAGAATGTTTAATCATAGGAATATTTTAATATATATTTTGAATATATGAACAAGTTTAGCTTATAGGATGAGAAAATCTTATCTTTACTAACAGATTCATTACTATCACCTCCTTTCATGCATCAGTTGCATTTCTTGTTGTATTTTTGTTTTTTTGTAGTTGTGAAATATATTTAGTGTATTTGTTCTTAAAACAAATTAAATTTTACTGATGCTGCATGTTTGCCTTTTATAATTAAGGTTTCTAATGTTTGTAGTGCTTTTTATTACAGTTTACATGGTATAGAAGTTTTGCATTGTTGATAAGTATTAATCAGATTTCTTGTTTTGATGGTTAGCAACATGCAATTTAATCGAGCTATGCTTTTAATGGATAAATGGCACAATAATGTAGCGATTGTGCAACCGATGTAAGTGTTGATTGATTTTGAAGATATAATGCTTGGAAAAAATAACTAATCCACAAATTTAATATTCCCTTCAAAATTAAATGATACTGATGGTGGTGTTGAAGACAGAAGATAAGTTATTGATGAAAAAATGATGGATAATAATGATTATCAATGATGGGCTATTAAAAGGTTTATGCCTGAATGCTAAATACTAGCCTCATAAGTATCTTTTCCATTCCTAACAGAAAGAAACAGATTTCTAGTTGCTCTCCATCAGAATTCCTTAATTAGCAGCACTTTGATGTTGGTTACAAAGCCTTGAAAACATTAAAACCAAAACTTAGAGGTAACACGTTCAAAATCTGAATTATTAATTGCATAGAAGCAAAAAATTTGTAGCACTACACAATGCATTTAAAATAGACAGAGAAACTAATTAAAACAATTATTAAACTATATTTGAAAATAATATTGTGAGCCAAAATGGGATTTAATTAATAATATAAATATGTTAATATATTCTCAGAAATATGCTATTTCTGCTGTGTTACTTCCAATGTAAATTATATCACTCCAAGACTGGTGAGAGTAGGAAAAAAAATTAAAAATAGTTCATTTGTATTTGTTATTAAAATATAATACAGCTGAGATTTTTCTCTACTTGACCGAATTGATGATTGGTCCACAAAATTGAATGCAACAATCCAATATTGAGTATAAAAGAGACACTCAAATTAATAATTATTAAAATAGTGCTAATTAATTAGAACTAAATAAACTATTTCACTTTTAATTTCAATTCAGCCAAATTGATATGAATGAATTAGTAATAACAGATATTAATTTATTTTACAAATATAATCTTACCTTAAAATTACAATCTACATCCTTTTTACATAACTTAGAGAAAAGAAATTATTAAAAATGTAATTAAAATTCTTCTTTTTTTTTAAGATATCAAAATCAATTTAAAGAGTAATCACAAAATTCAACATTAATAAAATTAACATATTTGTTCTTTTGGTAAAAAACAAAACAAGAAAGAAAAAAAACTTATACCTCACACATGGGATTGTACTAAGTGCACTGAAGATAACCAACAAATATGTTTTTAGCACTAAATTGTATTTTTTCACTGTTCGAAATCTATAATTTATAAAAGCAAAAATCACTGCCTAGGGCATTGCTATACTTGTTTCTGATATTAATATAGGCAGGCAGTAGGACCCTATTTAACAAATAATATTTATCTGACAATTATAAATCAAATGTCTAACAATGGCACAGTAGAAATTATTCAATGCATTTTCTGAAAAGAGCTGAGTGGACTCAGCATACAAAATGAATATAAACATAAAATTGGAGATTTATTGATGAATATTATCAGGTTGGATATTTATTTAAACAAAAACTGAAAAATTAAAACATGTTTTTATTTAATGCAAATATTCCCAATATTTTTACTACATCTTAGCATCAAATCATAAATTTTATTTACAAAATTATTTATTGAAATAAACAATAAATTCATGAAGTTTGTTCAATTTGATTTAGATTAAAGTTTTTGCCTTTAAGGAAATGGAGATGATTGAACAAAATGGTCAACCAGAAAAGAAATGTCAAATGAAGAGGCAAAGTTTTCAATTCACCTTGAATTCCATTAGACAGAATTAAGATTTTTAATGAAAATAATGATGCAATATAAAAATGTGCAGCAATTTCATAACAATTGACACAATGTAGACATCTATATGGGAGTTCCTCATTCAGTTTAAATGGAACTCAATTATTAATTTTTTTTTTTTTATTAATTCTTAAACGATTTAAAATGCTTTTAATTTGTACATTAAAGTTTCATTAAAGTTTTCCAGCTGTGGTTTGGGATCCTTTTCTGCCATTGATTTCAAATCTTCATCTATTTTGCCAAACCTCTTCTGTTCTTATAAAGTAAAACCTTTTAAAAAAATTTTTTTCAACAAAAATCTTACCAATTCTGGTTTACAAAAAGACTGAAAGAATCTGAAATGGAAGGAGAATTGAAATTACCTAAATGATAGCATTGTTAAATCAACAATAATACTGAGTAGGGTGCTGAAATATTTAAAGGGCTTACTGATACTTGATCCCCAGTGAAAGCCACAAATTATTACTGATGTGAAAATTCACTGAGTACAAAATAATGAACATATTTTTTTTTTAAATCTATTTCACCCCAACAAAGGCAGTAAAATCACCAAGACACAAGAGGCTACTGGGTGTGGAAGAATTAAAAAACAGAAACTTTACTAAGGAAGAAGAACAAAAGAAGTGTAATCAGGAGGACAGTAGAAAGCCATAAATTATGTACCTAATTGTACCTAAAAGGGGGGATTACCAAAAATGTGTTGATCAATCGTTCATAGCACTAACAAATAAACTAGATGTAAACAAATGTGAACTTCCATTGAACAATCATTCTAATGAATAGAGCTTGGAATAGAATCATAGTGGAAATAAGAAAATAACAATAGAACAAGAAATACTATTTTTATAACCACAATACTAGTGGAATGAGCAATAGAAAAACTGAAAGACTGTGATTTATGGATAACTCAAATGCATTTGTTAAATTACAATATTAAGAACTTCTTGAAATATTAAAAAAAAGCTTGATATACATGGAAAGAACATGTGAATAATCTGAGTTCTGTATTGGGAACAAATCATTTAAATGCAAATAGTGAACAAATTAAGTGAGTAAACCAAAACACAAACAGAGGAATATGACATGGAAGCTTTGTCACTAGATTTAACTGAGCATCAAGATTATTCTACCAGGTTTTATTATTGGCAAATGTAACCTCAACAATATATGCTATGAAAGATTCAAGAGGAAAACAAGAAATGACATTAGAAATAAAGAACTCGACTACTATGTGATATCTGCCTATCTATACTGGTAGTAAATGTTCAACAATTTCATAAAAAAATGAAAAAACAAAAAAAATTCTATCAACAAATGCTGAGAATACCATGGACAGAGCTTGAGAGAAATGTGGAAGTTTTAAGGATAATAATAATTAGAAAGAAACTTTTAAAAACAACCAGAAAGAGAGACTGGTGAAATTTTGAGAATACATAATGATAAAAGGTTTGGAGAATTTAAACCTCACAATACATGAAATCAAAAGAAATGCAAGAAAGCAGCAAGTAACAAGTTTTAGCAAACTGATGGAGGAACATGTCAAAGAGGAATCATAAAGGAATAAATACTGCTGTTAGCAATAAAAGAGAGGAAGCTGTGAAATGCTATGATCACATCCATCCTGAAAGGACATGTCACACAAAGACATCTTTTTAGAATATTCTTCAATTTTTAGCTTAGAATAAAAATGTACCTGAATATACTCTTAATTTGGGATGAAATATTAGAAGAAACTGTCCAAAGTATTCATTCTAATAATTTGTTTGTTGCCTGTGATAAAACATATTTAAAAATAGATTTCTCAAAAAAAATTTAAAATTTCCTGATCAATGATAATGACCAACAATGGTCATTTATTTCCTATTAAATGTGCATAACTTTTGAAATTCTAGCATTTATCACTATATCAACTCATAACTCATAAATCTAGGTCTTCATAGAGTCTTAATATGGTAAACAACAGAAACATCCATTGCTTGATTTCAGATGATTTTTCCTATTATTGTATATTTGCTAATAAACCATATCCTTGTTCAATCAAGAGACACATTATATAGGGATTAATAAATGCTCATGATTGCATATTATTCTATAAAGATTTAACATATTCAAGGTAAATCTCAATCAATACTTTCAGCTGTAGATCAATAAATTCCAGAGAATAATTTTTTTTTTTTTTTATTTTGCTAAAAGCTAATATTTACATTTATTTTATAAAGATTTTCATCAAGATAGGTTCTCACATCATGACAATCAGGATCATCTTCATTGAGCGTGTGGACTAATGTTAAAATGAAACTTTTCTAGTAAGTGTGATTTCTTCTACTTCCAACCATTGCAAGCAATGATGAGCCATTCGGTTGGAGGATTTATTTGAGGTTCCCTTTACAATTGGTTTTGCACAAGCTACATTCTCAAAATCCCAGTAGCAATTTAAGATAAATTTCTTTTTCTGAAATTTTTAAGATTATTCTAGCCATTATTTTAAATCAGTTATACCTAAAAAGCTAAGAAATATTTCATGATTTATGAGCCTACCAATGTGTTTATACATATTTTAGACATCCTGTATATAAAACAATAGACAGGACTGTCCTTATTTCATATTCATTAAGCCTGAAAACATTTTTCTACAATAAATCTTCTAAATTATTGTTCTAAAAATCAAACTGATATTCATGAAGATTTTGTAGCCCTTTAACAATTACATTCAAAGCAGACAATGCATTTATTAATATCAAAAAGGTCTTTTTGTGTTCTTATATTTTTTTCTAAGCTTTAATGCTTTTTTAGTATTTAACAGAATAAAACCACAGAATTTATAAGCAATGAAAGATAGAATAGATTAAATAAAACTAGAATATTCAAAATATTAATAATTTTTGCTTACCTTGGGTTAAGTCCTTTCAGGGCTGAATCAATAAAATCAGTTGTTTTGTCAGTACCTTGTGGAAGAACTTCAGCTGCACTGAGATCTTGAGGTAAGACTTCTGCCTCTTCTTCTTCACGCTATAAGATTTTAAAAAATAAAATTAATGCACATAAAACTAGGAATGAGGTGACATTACATAATTTGGTTGATAGAAATTCCACAGTGTATCTTTGAAATTCAAGAACAAGACACAAATTCATATTTTAATATAGAAAATAAATGCACCTTAAGGGTTTTAAATACAAGCTTTTCTATTTCCAAATTTGATAAACTTGATAAAAACACCATTATCTTTGATATTTCAATAACATCCTAAAAGAAAACATTCTGTTTCTTCTGTAACTTTGCTTACAATTTGCAATTTGGTAAGAAAAATATAAATTATATTGAAAGTTTTGCTTCTGTCCAGAAATATTAATAGGTCCGTGAATAGTAAGATGACGAATAACAATGGAGTCAATATATCTGGGAAAAATTTCATATGCTGTACTGTAAGATAAATATGAGGCAAAACCTATTCATAAATAAAATTATTTGTGTCATGACATCTATATGATGTATATAAGAAACTTGAAATATTTAATGAAAGCTAATATAAACTTAAAATTACTATCTGAATTTTACTTTAACACTGAAGATTAGATGTTTGAGAAATCACTATTAAATGAAACTAGAAATGTACTTCATTCAATACATTTATTTAAATTACTAAAAAAAATACTTAGCATCCTGCAACCAATGAATAATAAAATTAAACACTACAGATAAAAAATAGTAATAAATAAAGTTATTTTTAATAGACAATAAAAATGAATGGAGATATAAAAAGAAAATGTTAGATGTTGATTTTGTTTTTCTTCATCAAACAACCAGATGCACTGAAAATGGTTGCAATAGACAAATAAGTACACTACTCACTAAACCAATTACACTGAAATGACTGAATGTTTTTGCTTTTAATAAAATACAAAAATGTTTTCTTTGTATTTCTGTTGACAATGTCCAAAAGTATTTCCTTTTTTTTCCCCACAATTATTTAGCATCAAAATTAATAAATTGTTTCTATTAATGTTGGGCATTAACTACAGCATTCAATCTCCTTTCTTACACTTTCTTTCATCATTTCTCCTTCCTTTCAATTTATAAGCAATTTTACATCTCAACTTATCATTTGTAATATATCATTAGATACTTTCTAAGAATAGGCATTTGTTTCCCTAGATGTTATTGTGTATTGCCAATTGTAAAAATATTCTATTAAATACCCAAGCCATGGTGGGTATGGATAAGAATATATCTTAAGTGAGAAAATGATTAGTTTTATATACTATGAATCTAATAATAAACAAAATCTATATCAATATAGAGACACTTCATATGAAATAAGATATTATGAATGCAAATTATAGCAAATATTTAAAATGAATCTTGAGTTAGATATTCTGTTGATATTAAAGGGATATTAAACATTTTTAGTCTGTTTTTTTGTTACTTACTAAATGTGTATTACTAACAAACATTTGTAAACATTGAATTGTGTGTGTGCATAGAGAGATGGATAATGCAATGTTTCAGAATCCAAATTATAAAAGATATCAAAAAACTAGCCAATGATGAGAACATTTTGCATTGCTCAAAATAATTTCTAGAAAGCAATGGTTTTTTTTTTTATGTTTTTGCTGATTCTGTAAATAGATCTTTGGAACACCAACTTCAGCCGAACTAGATTCCTAGTCCAGATGGTGTACAATGTATTACCAAGCTCAACCAACCTACATTTCTGGGGAAAAATAGATTCACCAAAGTGCCCCTTGTGCTTGGGGAGGGGATCACTGCAACACATATTGAGATTGTATTTACTCGTTTTGTCAATCGGTTTCCATTAAGAATAATTTTTAGGAGTAACTTATTTTAACTAAAATTTATATGTTATTATTTCTTCTCTGTTTAGCTAGTATTCAACATATAAATATCTTGATTAATTTATTTTAAGCAATTTTAGTTAAATGTTATTTCTCTTAGTTTTTTAAATGGAATTTCTTAGATTATCAATCAGTATTCTAAATTATTCATACATTATTCTAGGAGTTTTTTGTTTTTTTTGTAAATAGTTTAAGTAAGTCATTTTAATCACTCTAATTTAAATGTTTTTTAAATGTAGTTAAGAATAAAAAGGAAAGTTATAAAAGGAGAAAAAAGATCAAACAAATAAGAAATAGTAAAGAATTTAAAAAGGAAGGAAGAGAAAGAAAAGTAAGTCAATATAATAACTTGGAGTTTTTGTTTTATTAATGTATATATATTCATTGGTTTGATCTTATTTTTTTTTCTTTCTTCTTAAAAAATACCCCATCTTAGCCTGGTGTAGGAAAATCAGTACAACCAGACTTACCCGATTTATAACATCAAATAGCCCAAGTGTAGACTTGATTAGTTGCCATTTTCTGGGGGAATTTACATAAAATACGTCTTAAAGCTAGTAGCAAATTTACTCTGGGTGTGGGCCGAATACTGATCATATTCGGTCGGGTTGCCCATCAAAGAAGTCTGTTGTTTATTTAGAACTGAAACTTCTAGTGACATGGGAGTAACAACACTGGTGACACACCTAGAGTCGGCACTTAAAGGTGTAATTTTAGCTATATTAACAACTGTTTAGGGCACATATTTTAGATAGCAGTGAGAATATCACCCTTGATTTCTATAAAGACATAACTTTTCTTTTAATCATTTCACCCCAAGCAAGGCAGTAATGTCACTACTACACAAGAATTTACAAGGAGTGAAAGTGAAAAAGAATGACAAGACAGAATGGGGAGGATTGAGGGAAGGACAAAAAAAAAAAAAAAAAAAAGGACCAGGTTTCAATAAGATAGAAGATGGCGATTTACACTGCATTTAAATTTTTGGAGATTGTAGTTATCAGGGATGCAAAAAAAACAGAAGGGAGTTTGTGGGGTCAGTGCAAGAAAAGAAACTGTTGGTGGTTGCATTTGCAATTTAATTGCAATTTAATAGAACACTTAAACTCCATCATGTATAAGTAAGAAAATGTTCACTGGAAAAATATTACTTCTTTATCCAACTTATTTGAATCAAAAAGCAACTACTGCATATACTTGTATATCATGCAATCCTTGAAGATATAATTTTGATGAATATATAGTTTGGTCAATGGCATATGCTAATTTTAATTCTAATATACAATGCAATCCTCCTTAAAATTAGCTTCAAAATTAGGTTTTCAAAAGTTGCATGATACACAAATATATACAGTATCTGGAGTTTCAAAAAACTTAATTCTAAAAGTGTGTCTTTCAGTGTTTCCAGTAAGTAAAATATTGTTATACCTCCCTACATGAATCATTTTCATTTTATTGAAATAGGAAATCAAATATTTTGCCAACATCTGTGTTAGACTCTTATCATAAATTGCATGAATTTGATATTAATTTTGGTATGAGAGGTAGATGTAAATTGCAAAGAGGAGTACAAATGAAAAAGAAAAAAATCAATCATCTAATATACATGGATGATCTTAAAGAGGGGGAAAAGAAGCCAAACACTGGTTCAGAGATTTTAGTAAATATGGATGAAGTGGATCTGGTATAAACAATCAAAAAAGGTATAATGTTAGTGAAACATAAATAAAATTTATAAAACTGAATTACCAGATAACAAACCAATTAGGACATTAAGTGCAAATAACCATGACAAATTATTGGATTCAATAAAAACAAAATGAATAAAGAACAAATTAGAGAAATCAGGAAAAAGAAAATCTGATAATAGATTATGTATTCATTCCTTCTAAGAGAAAATCTAAACTCTTTCTAGGATGGACAAGAGAGGAACATAATCAAATGAACAGACCAAAAAATTAATGATGATGGCAAAACAGTTGCATATTATAAAGGGGACGCTATGTAAAAAAAAATATATAAATAACAAAATAAGGAGAAGTAGTAATCTGTTCTAATAAAAGGTTGTATAAAACAAAGTAGGGAAAAGATGATGACGAGCACTCAAAATAACAAAGCAATAGTGAGGTCATAGTAAGTCAACAAGGAATAGTGAGGTCATAGTAAGACAACAAGGACTTGTGAGGTCATAGTAAGACAACAAGGAATTGTGAGGTCATAGTAAGTGAGCAAGGAAATAAAACTAAGAAACAAAATAAGTTACAGATGAAAAGAAATGAACATACAGAGAGGGGGATAAAATAAATGAATTCAGAATCATATAAAGAAAAAATTAACAAAATACAGAAAAAATTGTCAATCTACATGGAAAAAAAAAGGACATTATAAACCAAATTGTAATCTGGTCATAAGTAAATATAAAAAATAAAAAAAAACAAGCACAACAGAATATGAACCCACATGCAATGGTGCAAACCTCTCTGTAGAAATGGAATGCTTTGATTAATTTGTTGTTTTTTTATGGCTTATCAACTCTTTACAGGTTTTTTGTTAAACCTGTAAAGAGTTGATAAGCCATAAAAAAAACAACGAATTAATCAAAGCATTCCATATATTTTGGAGTGTAAGAATAATAATGATTTTGCAAATGAATATTGAATTGTTATTCTCCAACTATGTTGGAGTATAACAATTATATTTCCAGATACAAGTCTTATTTAACCCATAGCTGAGGAGATGGATTCATACCTTCCCCAAAGGTATTTGCTCCAATATAACATTCTGAGATGCTATCCATTATTCCACATGCACATCCACCAAATGAAATAGAACACAAAGCAAAGCTGCCATAGAAAACAAGAATCAAGTATTTTTAAATGTTGGAATTCATATCCAACTCCCAACACAAACAAGAAAACTAGTCTTGGTTGTTGTGAATAAAGAGAATATGTTAGATGATGAATGTGATAAAGAAGAACAAAGAAAAGGAAATGAAAAAGTAACAGTACTTCACTCAAGAAACTATAGAATAAGAATGATGGTCATGCTTATAATCTACAGTGCATTGGGAACCATCTAAGATTGCATGAACTGAAGATTCTTATCCAAAGCAGTATTGGAATTGGCAACAGTGCTGAATTGTGAAGGGACTTGCTATCATCAGTGGCAAACAGTAGAAATATCTAGTATGAATAATAATAAATTTAGTGCTACTCAACAATTTTATGATTATCTTCTATCAGTAAAAAATAACTGAGTAAATCCATTCATCTTGTTGAGATATAGTAGGGAATCTTTCAGAATTTATGAGGAAATAAATTAGATAAATTGTCTTATCAATGGGAAAGAGATAACTGTCTAAAAGTTATATAACTGCCAAACAAAACACAAGGGATAAAGTACTTATAATACAATATTATAAACTACACTTACTTATCAAAAGAAAGCAACTGATAACCTTTTCAGAAAAATAAACCACCTGTTCTTACAATGTTTGTTTTGGAAATTTAAAAAGTCTTCCTTTAAAGCAATATATGGCCTACCAAGCAAACCTTGTTTTGCATTAGTTATAAGAGATTAAGAACAATTTTAGGAATCAATAACAACAAATATTCTGAATTATAAGCCTCAATGAGTCTTTAAAAAATCAATCTGTTATATCTTAATGTTTTCTTTATTGCCTATATCATATTAGTGTAATCATGCTGACTAATTTTTGTGACTATTTAAATAGATTAGAACCCCAAAACTGCCTCCAATTCAAAATAGAGTCCCAAGTTCTATTCTCTGTATTATTTGCATTGCAATAATAGTGTTTAAATGCTCTTTATTTAAAAGAGTCAAACTCTAAAAATGTGTCTAATTTGTATTTTTTCCTTTTGATTCCAGAAGCACATTAATATTTCTTCCTCTTTTAAAACCAAGTTCTTATCATATTAATTGGAAGAAACATTTTTTAATATTAAGGAGTTATAAATTATTATTTTTACTTCTAATGGCTCTTCTCAGGATTACAATCTCTGAATTTATTCCGACAGAACTGAATATCTCTCCTTGAATAAATGTAATTACATGATCAGCATTCAAACAGACATATGGAATTCACTCTAAAATCTTTCTTCATCGGGCAACTGTTGCATTTACAAGCTTCAATAGAATTATCAAAAACAACAATGACAATAATAGAGGTTTGCTTTTCCAT